CGTGGGGACCTTCCATTGACTTCTGTTCATGTTTTTTAACCTTTATATCCTAACCCTGACCATATACTCTAAAATTAACCTCACAGGTACCTACCTGACCCTAAAACTAACGTAAACCTTGGTCCTAAACCTAACCCCACACCCGTAATTTGCAATTGGACCCATGGGGACCTGGCATTGGTCCCCACGATGCACTTCGGTCCTCATGAGGATGCTTTTTTTGGGTAAAATTGTCCCCACATTGTAGGAAAAACCCGTCCACACACACACACACAATCTCCAACCACATACACAGATATTTTGTTTTTTAACTCATTTCAGTTTATTTTTCATCACAAAATGTTCTTTAACATTTTAACTAATTAAAGAAAACTGAAAAAGAAATAGATTGCAAGAAATTACAACCTCTTAAAAAACATCTTAACAGTAATTATCTAAGTGTAATGTTTTTTAACTTTATGAAAATATTCAACATTGCTTCAATAAAAGTTAAAAAAGTCTTTCTGTGCAAAGTGGGTTTTTAAACATGAACAACAGCCTGAGAGGAAAAAAAAACAAAGGTTTGCTGATTAAGAATAAATCTCCATTAAAAACCTTTCCATTATGCTAACAACGTCCGAGCAATCCCCGCTCCATTCAGTCAAGCCGCGCCCCACCTGCAATGGCACTGTGCCCCCCCTAGGGGGCACGCCCCACACTTTGGGAACCACTGCCCTAAAGGATAGGGTGAGAAGCTCGGTCATCCAGGAGTAGAGCCGCTGCTCCTCCACGTCGAGAGAAGCCAGTTGAGGTGGATCATCTGGTTAGGATGCCTCCTGGACGCCTCCCTGGGGAGGTGTTCTGGACACGTCCCACTGGGAGGAGGCCCAGAGGAAGACCCAGGACACGCTAGAGGGACTATGTTTTTCTGCTGGCCTGGGAACACCTTGGGATTCCCCCAGAGGAGCTGGTCCAAGTGGCTGGAGAGAGGGAAGTCTGGGTCTCTCTGCTTAGTCTGCTGCCCCCGAGACCTGACCCCAGATAAATGAAACAAAACCAACAGGCGGGTTACAATTTAAAACCAGAAGTTTACATACACTATATAAAAAGGCACGTGTGCATTTTTTTTTTTACCAATTACCAATTGATTACCAATTTTTTTCTATTTGCTAAATGCCAGAATAATGACAGGGAGAATGTTTTAAGGCAACTTTTATTACTTTCTTCAAAGTCTAAAGTTTAAAAGCACTAGGATTGCTATGACTTTAAACCATTTGGGACATTTGATGTCATGTCTTTGGAAGCTTCTGATAGGTTTATTGATAACATCTGAGTTAATTAGAGATAAACCTGTGGATGTAATTTAAGGCACACCTGAAACACACTGCTTCCTTGTGTAACGTCATGGGAACGTTGAATGAAATCAGCCAACATATCAGGAAGAGAAGTGTGGATCTGCACAAGTCTGGTTCATCCTTGGCCACAATTTTCAGATGCCTGAATGTGCCTCATTCATCTGTACAAACAATTATACACAAGTACAAATAGGATGGAAATGTCCAGCCATCATAACACTCAGGAAGAAGACAGGTTCTGTGTAGCAGAGATGAACGTGCTTTAGTCCAAAATGTGCAAATCAACCCAAGAACAAAAACAAAAAACCTGGTGAAGATTCTGACTGAAGCTGTTGAGTGTGTCATTATGAAACATAAAGACAGATTAATGTTTGAAAATACACACAGGGATGAAGACCTTCATTTCTGGAGACGTCTGTGGTCTGATGAAACTAAAACTGAACTGTTTGGACATGATGACCATKGTTAAGTTTGGAGGAAAAAGGGGGAAGTTTGCAAGCCTGAGAACACCGTCCTGACTGAAACACAGAGATGGCAGCATTATGGTGTGGGGTTGTTTTACTACTGGTGGGTGGCTGTGGCAGAGTGGTTAGGGGAGACGAACCGGAAGGACACCAGTTTGATCCCCCTTCCAGCTGTCTCAGTTGTTGTGTCCTTGGGCAAGACACTTCACCCCTAATGCCTCTGATGTGTCCCATCAGTGTATGAATGGCACTGACTAGTCTCTATAGATGATTGTACATGTTAGCTTTGTAGGAGACCTAATAGAGTGCTGTGTGAATGGGTAAATGAGGACAGAGATTGTAGCGTGAATCGCTTTGAGTGTCCTGGTTGGGTGGACAAGTACAGTCCATTTACCACTTTACAAAACAGATGGTATCATGAGGAAAGAACATTATGTGGAAATACTGAAGCAACATCTCAAGACATCAGCCAGGAAGTTAAAGCTTGGGATCAACTGCCAAACTGGTTACAAAGTGGCTCAAGGATAACAAAGTCAATGTTTTGGATTGGCTGTCACAAAGCCCTGATCTCATTTCTATAGAAAATTCATAGGCAAAGCTGAAAAGTGCGAGCAAGGCGGCCTACAAACATGGCTCAGTTCCACCAGTTCTGTCAGGAGGAAAGAGACAAAACACCTGCCAAATATTGTGAGAAGGTTGTGGAAGGATATCCAAAACATTTAAGGGCAATGGTACCCAATACAAATGAGGTGTATTTAAACTTTTGACTTGGTTTAAGATTTTTGTATCACTTGAGTTTTTTTGTTGTTTTTTTTTGTTTGTGTTTTGCATTTTTTTTCTTGTTTGTTTGTTTTGTTACCTTCATGAAGGAGGGTTATGTTTTCGGTCACGTATGTCTGTCTGTCTGACTGTGGACAAAATAACTCAAAAACTTATGGATGGATTTTCATGAAATTTTTACCGCAGGTGGGTATTGGCTAGCCTGCCCCTTGCCTTCCTACGCAGCTCCGCTCAATTCTAGTTTCCCTTCTCTGCTCCGTCTGGGACTTCTCCCACTGACAAGGATTTCGTTGGCAGATTTTTAGCCGGGCCAATCAGAGAACAGAACGTCGATTTTCTGCGCAGTGTCTGCTTGTAGTTTATTTTACCTGGGCCAATCAGAGAACAGAACCTCAATTTTCTGCGCAGTGTCTGCTTGTAGTTTATTTTACCTGGGCCAATCAGAGAACAGAAGGAGGAGTTTTGAACGACGTTGATTTTCTGCACAGTGTCTGCTAGTTATTTTAGCATACGGCAGTGGAGGAAGTGAATGAAGCCAGTCTGTGTTGATAAGGCTTCCAAATTAAAATAAATTTGTCGGACAAAGCAGCAGCTCTCATTTACAGTCGTCTCGTTCGGCTCGGTGTATTTCTCCTCTCAGTAGGGTTGTTTACAGCACACGTGATTTCCGGTTAGCTTCTTAGCTTAGCCTCCGTCACAGCGACATACGTCACAGCCAACTGATCCAATCATTTTAAACTTCAGCAGAGGCCACACCTCCTGCAAGAATCACTTCTCTATGCATCAAGTCCAGA